GAATGGTTTTCCCTTGGCTTAGGTATTGAAAAAAGTGAAGGCACCAGTATGATTGGTATATTAATAACTTTTCATTGCTATAGAAAATACCTGACATGAATAATTTACTAAAGGGTATTGTTCTGGATCATGCTTCTGGATATTCCAACCCAAGACTAGGGGGACACTTTCTTTTGGGTTTCTAGTTGGTGGGTATGTTAGATGACCATTATAGGGAGCTTGTAGCAGAGCAAACTGCTCACGTTACTCAAAGAAGTAAAGAAAATGAATATGGTTTTTGGGTCACATGTCACCTTTAAGTTTATGTCCTCAGTAACTTAAGGACCTACCTACTACAAATCACATGTTCTCAAGATTGCAATCACCTCATGATGGTGAAACCCCATGGTTGAGTCTTTAATGCATGGACAATGGGGGTATTCTGTACCCATACCCAAGTAATTAAGTGTGATGGCAAGTCATATTCATCCAGGAAGTTGGCCTCAACACACCATACTTTTCTGACAAAGAAAAATGGCTCTACAACCCATGGTAATAGCTCCAGAGGTAGTATGAGGAAACTCATGATACCAAAAAAGCCATGTGTTTGATTGGTGATTTCCCTTTTATTGAGAGAGAGAGAGAGAGAGAGAGAGAGAGAGAGAGAGAGAGAGAGAGAGAGAGATCTGTATAACAGCAGCAGCAGGTGCTGATCTGAGAACTTTTTGTAGGACTGATGGCAAAAACATAGGTGAGTAATGAATGGAGAAGCAGTCAATTGCTAGGTAGTTATAAAGGTTTAAGAGGGTTGGAAAACATTGAGGAAGGATTTCTCACTGTGGTGATATTTTATTTGTGTTGAAATGTGATATTTTATTTGTATGTTAATAAATAAAGTTTGTTCTGGGCGGTGGTGGCGCACGCCTTTAATCCCAGCACTCGGGAGGCAGAGACAGGCGGATCTCTGTGAGTTCGAGGCCAGCTTGGGCTACCAAGTGAGTTCCAGGAAAGGCACAAAGCTACACAGAGAAACCCTGTCTCGAAAAACCAAAAATAAATACATAAATAAATTAAATAAATAAATAAATAAAGTTTGCCTGGAGATCAGAGGTCATAGCCATAAACAGAAGTCAGGTGGTGGTAGCACAAGCCCTTAATCCAATCACATGGCAGGCAGAGTCTCTTCATGTTCAAGGACACAGCCAAGCGTGGTGACACGATCCCAATACCAAACATAGAGACCTGGAGGTCTGTATAGACAGGCTGTGACAAGGAAGTGATGTGGCTGGGCTTAGAGCCAATGAGAACAGGAAGGCAATAAAGGCACAGGTTAGACAGGAAGCTGTCGTGGGAAGCTACGGTGAGGTAGTAAGCTAAGGTTAGTTGGCGGCTGTTGCTCTGATCTCTATGGCTTGCACCTCTGTATTTGGCTCTGTGTTTCTTATTTAATAAGACCATTTAGAAATTCATCTACACCTCACTCATGGACTTTAGACCCCTCTCTCCTGTTTCCTTGGTAATGTTTGAAATGAAATTATCACAACTGCCTTTAATATTTAAGTCACCATATAAAAGTTGGAGGTACCTGGGCTTTGTTGAGGTCCACTAAGGCAAATCTACTTCCTTCAGGTCAAAAGATACTAAGTTTCAAGTGTGAACCTGGGAAGAGACCCAGCATTCTATGCTACCCAAAGTAGTCATACTATTATCTCCTTCCTTAAATAGTTAACCTGATTGGTCTATTAATCATCTTGCCAGGAACCTATCCACTTCCTGTCCAGGAAATCTGGCTCACCTGGAGACATGCTATAGGGAAAGAAGGACTAATTATCCCCTTAAGGAGATGTCATTGCTTTCCCTTGCCAACTGCTTACAGACTTTTAGTCCTGTACCACTGCCATGGCTCTGTAGCACTGTGGTGGACAAACTTTTCATTTTCTACAACTCTTTCATTTGGATATTGGTCAAATCTTGGACATGCTTTCCTTGATGCCCTGGGGTTTTTCATTCATTCCCTGATTTTTCATGTAGAACACTTGCAAAAGCTTGGCTTTCTCCCATTGGGTTTTCCAGCTCCCCCTACCAGGCATCTGCCAGAACTTAAAGCTAGCTGTTTAGTTTGTTTGTGTGTGTGTGTGTGTGTGTGTGTGTGTGTGTGTGTGTGTGTGTGTGTGTGTGTGTTCTTTGTTTTTTCTCTTAGACTCTAATAAAACTTCCCTCAAGTTTTAAGTTAACTCTTAAGTTCTTTTATTAATTCAACTAAAAATGGACCCTGACTTCCATAATAACATGAGGTGACCTCAAAGCCCCCCCCCACATCCCCCCCGGTAACAAATCCAGAGGAATCTGAATGCTTTCTCTCAGTCTCAGACACATCCTCATGTATAGGTTCTAGGCAGGTGCTCATTTAAGAGAAGACATAAAAAGGAATGAGGAAGCAGCATTGTCTTCTGGCAGTTCACACCTCCAGCAAGGACATCCTTCAACTGCTGCTTTGGGGTCCTGTCCTACCCAAGTAGTTTCTATCTTCTGTCCTCATCATTAAAGTTGGAAAGATAAAACTGTGTGTCTCCCAACCCCCTACTAGCAACCCATGGACCAACAGACCCTGCAGTATGGTGCATAGGCAGAACAGGAAAAATACTGCAGCTTCTAGATCAAGCGTTCAGGATACACAAGACCACAAGTGACTTCTCTGCTTAAAGAAGTCAATCCTTTCTTCATGAATTGGTCCTTTGTTATTTTTTCCAAAGCCGTTTATTCTATTTACTTGCTTTCCTGTTTGCATGTGGATTTCAAGATTTTAAAAAATTCTATTTATATTAAGAATTCTATTTATGCCACTGGAATTTTCATCCCTTTGAGAATTGTATCTAAACACTTATTGCCAAACTAAAGGAATTTACATTTTTCCAGTGCTGTAAATGTTAGAGTTTTGTGTTTTATATTTTGGTCTGTGATTCATCTTGAAGTAGTCTTTAAGTGTATAGGGTTTCTGTTTAGATTTAATTGTATCTGCCTGTATAGTTATTGTGGTCACATTTGTTGGAAAGACTTTTTTTTCCACTGAATTATCCTTTTTCATTTCTTTAAGATGCCATGTTTATATGGATCCAAGTTTATATGGATCTATCTCTGCATTCTACGGTGTTTAATTGATGTATTACTTTACACGTTTTTCAAAGCTACACTTCTGTGGTTAACATAGGTTTAAGGTAAGTCTTGAAATAGGATGGTGTCAGAATGCCAAGTTAAGTGTTTTGGTATTATTTTATTAGTCTGAATCTTCTGTCTTTAAATATAAGCTTTCTAATCAGTTTGCCCACTACCACTAAATGACTCACTGAGAGGTTTTGGAGGTTGCATTGAGTTTGTAAATCAGGTTTGAAAAACTGACATCTTGGTAATGAGTCTTCAATTCCTTTAATATGATACACTTCACTTACTTATTTCTCATAATTTTTCATCACAATTTTGTATTTTTTTCTTTCTATATACCTTATACTTGGAACAATTTGTAGTTTTTAAATGCAAAGAAAATTGTATGGAGGTAATTCGATTTCTTCACTCTATGTTATAGAGTATAGAGGAAAAGTTAGTAATAGTTGAAAATAGTGACCACGAGTTTTAGAGGAAAAATCAGTAAAAATGGCACAAAGAACTGAAGGGAGATAATATTGGTTTTAAAAAGAAATTTGCAGATGAAACATGACTTCCGTGGCTAATAAAATAAATTACAAGGTATTCTAGGAGAATATTTGGATCTCTACTAATGATAGTATAATGATATATCAAGAAGGTATATCATGAGATAATTAGTACAACTAGAAGTATTAATTGTTGAATGTAGTGTATCCTTAAAGTGTTTCACCACAATCCTCTGTACTATGTAATATATGCTAAAACATGTATGTAATCAGACCATTTCACCTTTTCTCAAATCTCACTCTTAACTCTTTTTCCAGCTAAGGAAACAAAAGAGAACCACAGTTGCCCATGTTTGCCAATAAAGAAAGTGAGTGCAATCTGGACATTCTGAATTTGAGAATACATTCTTAGTCTCCATGACAGCGTTTGCTCTATTGGTTGGTGCTGTGGACACTTGAAATGCTAAGATATACAGACTCTAAGGATGGTGGAGAGGCAGTGGTAGAAGAGTTTGGTGAAGAAAACTTCACAATCTGTCAGGCTCTCACAAACCCTCCTCTGAGTAGTATTGAGCTTGGAGAAAAACAGTCTCATCAAAAAAGACAATGTTCTGAAGACAACTTAGCTGAGCTCTGAATTCTTCTGTCATGGGTATCAATGGATAGACTACAGTCCTGTAAGAGCATGTCTTCCTGGACCCAGTAAGGGAACTAATTTAGAAGGTCACAGACGACAGTGAAATGCAAAGTTATATCAGGTCCTAACTATGATTTTAAAGGAAAGTCAAGAGGAATTGTTAGATCCTCAGCTATTAGCTTAAACATACTTTCCCAATGAGAAAAAAAATATTAATTACAAAATCCCTAAGTGACATTTAAAAATACACATATACTATTCTAGCTCAAAAGAGAGGGTGGGGAATTAAGATGAATTCTAGTAAAATAAGTAAATCTGAAATAAAGCATTAGATTCTGATGACTTGTTGAATTTTATTAGCTATCAAATTCATTTGACAGGCAAAATATTCACTTAAAGATACACTGAGATAAGCATAAATAGCAATGTTTAATTAACAATTCTTTCAGATGGGCCTTTACAAGACAGTAACTTTCCTTTGTACTGAGAAATGAGCCAGTGGATTTGCAAAGCAGTGTATATCTCTTTCAATTAAAAATAAAGCAATCAAATGACAAAATGGTGCCATTGTTCTGCTTTGGGTTACTGATATGTGCTCAACTTTGTTATCTCTTATAGATTTCCTATAAAATGCCAAATGTGATGACTCTTTAGACATCCCATAATATATTTTGCAAAATTACAGAACATTCAGTGTGATATGATTATCATCTGTTCCAATTATACAGAACACAGGATCATGCTCAAGATCTACATTTATTTGAAAACATTTAGTTCAATTTACATGAATGCAGAAAAATAACAGCCAATACACCACAATAGTGGAAGAGATGAAATAATCAAGTTCTGTCACATTTACACACACATGTAATTATATATCTAGATAAGCATATGATTATATATCTAGATGAAAGGTGATCAATCACAATCACGGGTCAAGAACCAGCTTCTCAGTAGTAGTAGGTTCCCCTCTTCAGTATGTAGGGCCTTCTAGGTTTATTCTCATATAGCTGCCTTTTCAGAATGTAAGGGATTTTTCTCTTTATCACTTCCTCCTTCTCATCTTTGCCATTGCCATTATCAAGAATATCTTCCTGGATTATCTAAAATAGAGAAAACACAAAGAGAAGTTATATGCATGAAATATATTTCAGATAACTCCCTACATTGTATTCTATCTATTTATTTCAAAATGTACCTGTAGGATCAGAGAAACTATTTTGTCCCATGACAGATGGTTATCAATGACTGAGATGGAATCAGATCATAATCATTCTGATTATTGATGCCCTTCCCCAGCTCACTAGCCTACCTCTTTTCAAAAATGTGTTTATATTTTTCAGCTGACAGGCTACACCAGAGACACCTACAAATTAGTTTTGAGGCTTTGAATATAAAGTGGCAGTCCAAAATGATGTGAAATGTATCACAATAAATATAATTTTGAATCTCACAAGCCGTTGGAATAAGAAGATAACAGGATTTTAGGTTGGCTTAAGTCGATTACTGATATGACTTGAAAGTCATTCCAGTAACCAGTTTCCTAAACAAAGAAAGAATTGCCTGTTCCAAGTATCTTAGAGGTTGTACCAATCAACAAACATGGAAACTCTGTTTAAATTGCTAAGATCTCTTCAGATTATAGCTGTCTCCCAAATTTTGGTATCACAATAATGAATACTGATATTTCAATTGTAATGCGCAAGCATACCATCCTATCACCAAGTATTTTGTTTCATTCCACAGTTATTGAGTTTCAGAGAAGGCAAAGCAGCTCCTGTCAGCCAATCTAGGTTTTTAATCTTTACTTTCTTTAAAGTGTATAGCCTGTAATTACTTCTACTATGCTCAGAATGATATTATCATTTTATTTTTAAATGACTCAACAGTTAAAATAACAAGAGTTTCAGGCTTATGTTCAGTTGACTTCTATGCTAATTAGCTTATTGGGGGAGTCTTTCTTCTCTAGATAAATAAGGCATAATTGGCATTTCCCTCTGCTAAGATCTGAATTTTCAAGTTTTATTGAGCTAAATAGTGTTTTAAAGACTGTTCCATTTAGCTGGAATTAAAATTAAAGGATGAATAGTACAACAAGATAATTTGAACTAGCCTTTTTGGTTTTTCATCTGGAAAGCATAGTTATGTTTACCAGTTAGTATAAACACTGGGAGTTCTGCCTGCATTTCCTCCGTTCACGAGGTATTTCTGTGGCAGCCACTTACAGGCTTGTTATATTAACAGAGAGGGCACCCTCAGATCTACAATGCTGGTGCAAGCCCACAGTCTAAAACATTAAGCAAACCTCTCAGGCCTTGATCTGAAAAAATAATGTTTCTCCAATCAGAGAAGTGTAATAGCATCCATTTTTCTTTTTAGGGAGACTCAGTTGTCTTCCACATTTTCCTTCTCTTGGCTCAAATTTTTGTTACTTCTAGTTTATTTTTTAGTGAAATGTATGTCAAGACTATAAAGAATAACGTGTTGCTCTTTTGGTAATTGGTAGATTACCACCATTTTCAGGCTTTTTTTTCTCCCTTTAAGGATAGTCACCCACACATGGTAGTGAGCACATGGACACTGGCACTTTGTAGGTGGGTGCGAGAGGATTGCTACAAGTTTGAGACCTTTCTGGACTACATAGGCTAGCCAGAGTTATACAGCTGTTATGACCTTTTCTCAAAAAATGAATAAGTGAATAATCTAAAGGTACATCAGCATTCTTAATGCCATTCCTTCAATGATGTCTTGCTTGCCTATTTTATCAGTAGGAAAGTAGATTTTGGAGTTAAAGCTTAATGTTTGGAGAACTGAATCCCATTTGGATATACCTAAGGGGTGGTACTTCACTTTTCTGAATTTAACTTTTGAGTCTGAAGAGGACCACGGCTAACTCAACAACGTCTGTTTCAGAACACTTAATTGACAAAAGAGCTGGAATATGGATATGAAATGTTGATAATGAAAGTTATAAGCACTTATCTACTAATATAGAATGAAAAGGCCTTTCCATTTGTGTATGTATGTGTGCACACATATATACATATATATATATATATATATATATATAATATTATTTGAAAAATTAAGAAATATTTTACTTGCCCAATAATCAAATGTAAAAGCTGAAAAAAATTCCTATGTACATGCTAGTCTGTGAGTGGCAACTAGAAACCTTGGATTTTTTCTCTTTTCTTTGAAAATTTGCATTGTGTTTGTTTATAGATAATTATGCATAATTTCTTTATTTTTAGGAATAAAGGTTGGATTTACTTAAATTTCTTGATACATGTCACTATTACCAATATAATGAAAAAATTATGTCAGTGCTTCGTCATTTATATATATATGGTTTAAATGTGCCTTATACCTACCATTACCCTTTTAAGACCGAAGAAAAAAGTTTGCTCATCTTTTTATGTTTCCAGGACACTTTGAAGTTAAGAAGGGTGTTGACTTCAAAATAGGATTCATTACTTTCTAGTATTTGTAAGTCTCCCTACTGTGCTTTTATGAGGGTATAGAACTGAATACAAATGAGATCCCACTACTACAATGACTCCCACCCCCATCTAAGTTTCTGTTATACCTCCCAGTGCTGAAAAGCCCTGCTGTGGCAAATTTTCTGGAGCTGGAATATGGTCAGCATTGCTTCCAAGCTAAAGCCATCTAGAACAAGGGGAAGTTTCCTTTTCCCAACGAGATCATCTTCGTGTGTTTCTCCTGCTTCCTCTGCTGGGCTGTTCAGGTTATTTATAAGGCTGCACACATTTAGCAAGGTCATTTTCCAAGAGGGAGGACTTGCTTTACCGATCTGAAATATTGAAAAAAAAAAGATAATACAATTAAAGTCTGTTAATGGAGTATGAAATGTGCATTGGTTGTGTTAAAAACCATTATATTTTAAGTTCTACTTGCAATAAAACTTGAGTGTGTGAATCCCTTTTTTTATTATACTCTTAACTCACAGATATTAAAATCTGAGTATGAGGATATTCACTTTATTCTCCAAAAGCTTGTAATCCTTTCTACTTCCTGCCTTGAACAAGGTTATCCAGCTGTTGAAGGCAATGTTCTGTGTTAGTAGGATATTTTAGAAGAAAACATTCTTCATTTAATTTCACCAATACCTCGTGCCTTACCAGTTCATATGTTATTTCAATTTCACATTTAGAAAGTTCTTTAGAAAGTTTCTATCTCAGTGTTTTCCTAAGATTACTTCATTGGAACCCTGCTTCTGCCCCCAACCATTTTAAAATTATACTTTAAATTAAAATAGAATTACATCACTCCTTGCCCTTTCCTCCCTCCATCCTCTCTCAAATACCCTCCCTTGGATCCCTCCCATGTCTCCCCCTGCTCTTAGGTTTATGGCCTCTTTTTCTTGGATTATCATTTTTGTAAACAGACACATTTACTTGTGTATGCATATGCACAAATACATACAAATGCAACCTGCTTAGTCTATTTTTTTTAAATCTCAGTGGTGATGCTTATAGTGAAAACTATATACACACCTCCACTATTTTAAATGGACATTTTACTGTCATTAGCACTCAAGGAAATGGAAAAGTTTTTAAAATAGATATCCTGAAATCTTACATGTGAATGTGTATGTGGATTAGTGGAAAATAGGCTAAACTAGACTAGACTAGAATAGAATGAAATAGACATGTATTTGATAATATATTTGGAAAAAGTTTTCTGTCTAAATAACAAATTCTAACTATAGTCCTTGTCATGTGTGTTTCAGTATTAAATGTGACTGAAGAGCTATCGTTATTCCTCAGTACCCATGATTCACTGAACTGAGATCAACTTAGCAGGTGGTGAATCTGGGGACGTCAGCAAGTGCAAGTAACTGAAGTCATCAGGTGTCATCTAGCTCTAAAATTTACATCTGACTAAAAACGTGAGAGCTTGCAACAGATCTTGGATTCCAGTTGCTTATTCATAAACATGCATTGAACTCCTACCATATATAAGGATTTGAGTTTGATTACAAACAATAATATAGTTAGCTTCTAATAAAAACATGCTTTACTGGAACTATTTTTTATTAAAGTACACTTCAATGCCAGTGATGATTATATGTGTATATGTATATATTGAGAACAACAAACAAATACTCCTGGGTCTGCCACTTTATTTTAGCCATTTGAATTCACTTGAGCTCCTGTTACCTAGATAATTTTAGTAATTGCTTTTCAAATGTCTAAACAACTTTATCCTAAAATAGAAATTGTTCACATACTTGATTTAAAAAGTGGGAAGAGGAAGGTTCATGATCTCTGGAGCTTGTAATAATGGCATTGAAAGAAAAGAATCAAATATTTTTCTCATTAAAGTTTTAAATGCAGTCATTTGTTTAAGGTGATCATATATCGAGAGTTCTCATTTACATACAAAGATGATTGAGTGACAGAAATGAATGAGAAAGTGATGTCATAGCAAAACATAAGCTGTGCTTTTTATTTTTATCTTAGCAGCAAAATTTTTTATGTCTGGATACCTTTCTCATCAAAGATTGTATCTTATTTATCTCAGCAGAAATGAAGCAATGTAATATAAATACTTCATCTTGAACTACTTTAGACCGATTGAATTTACACCACCATTGTACCATATTTTCTTCAGTGGAAAAGACAACACTGCTCCAGATAATGAATTTTTTTCTTGCATTTGCTTGGTCAGAGAGAGTAACCCAAACTCTCACATGTTCTCAGAGCACACATCTTCAATAGTTGTAAGGTAATATTATTATGTGCTCTCAATCACAAACTTGCAAAATACATATCTTTCATTTCTGCTCAGTGTCAAACACAATAAAATTGCCTTTGCATACTAGAGATTTTTGAACCTAGAATATGCTCATTCAACTAAGGAAGAACTCTGTATTGAAGAACTAATTAGAATATTGCTTCAGAATTTAGGTCAGTGTCTTAATTAATTTCTAACCTTGCTACTACAGTTTTAACTTTGAATGTATAAGGAATGAATTAATCTTAAAACAATTCCCTATCTTTTCATTGGAAACCTGTATTCTAACCATCAATTTTGATACACAATGATTCAATAACTCTGAATTAATTAATTTCATAGGGTAGAGTGGTAATGTGATATATTACCAGTTTTGTTCCCAGGCAAAGGTTGGTAAATTAGAAAAGGTGCACTCAAGCTTTCAAAATTTTGCTCAGAATACAGAACTTCACTGAGCTCACGCAATAAAAATTAAATATCTATAGCTAACAATTTTGAGGGAACAAGAGAGTAAACTCTGTCAAAGGTAGTAGAGTTTATAATAACCCATCAGAGAGTCAGAAATGTCTAGGTTCTACACTCCAATCATTGCACTTAAATAGATTTGAAAAGCCAAGATCAGTCTTACTGACTAACTCAGTAGCATAATAGACCAGAAGTGGTGGTTTCAGGACTGGATTTCAAGGTTAATGTTTGCATGTCCATAGCTTTCTTCTATGCCATATTTCCTTCCTATATTACCTTGTTACCATGTTTTAGGAAACACTTTTTTTCCACAACTAACAAAAAACATATTTAAAAAAAAAACTTTGATTAGATTTCACTTGTGTATTTAACTGGAAGCCCATATACCTTTCATCCGACCAGTCTAGTAATCATGGAAACAATTTAAGTATGTTTCTCTGTCTCTATAACATTCTCTGTGGCTGCTTAATTAAAATTGAATACAAACTGACAGTCCTATAGATATTTTCTCTTTTATATCAAGACCTTAATTAAAATTGAATACAAAATGACAGTCCTATAGATATTTTCTCTTTTATATCAAGACCTTTGACTCCTCAGAAGAGTGGTTCTCAACCTGTGGATCACAAACCCTTTGGCAAACTTCTAGCCCCCAAAATATTTATATTGTGATTCATAACAGTAGCAAAGCTAGAGTTATCAAGTAGCAATGAAAACAATATTATGGTTAGGGTCGTCACACCAAGAGGAACTTACTAAAGGGATGCAGCATTGGGAAGGTTGAAAAGAAAAAAATGAAATCTCTCAAATAGGAAATGTCTCCCAAAGACCTTTCCAGCTTTGAGGTAGGTAACTATACCTTTATTGATTAACTTAAGAAAATAATATGTTTAGAGTTGATATTCACATGTGCTTTAAGACTGGATTAAAGAAAAGAAAACAGTTACCTTTGATGCGTGCATGTTTGTCAATAAATCTGCCTCTAATGCTCTCATGTCCTCTTCTGAGTCTGAATAAAATCAAAACCACACATTTACTATGAAATCACACATCCTGTAATTATATTGCAACCAAAGTATTTCAAATTAATTTAAAGAATCACTCTTTGAAGCTTATTGTCTTCTGCACATAATTCCTTCAAAGCAGTGTTCAGAAAGAAACACACTACAGCTTAATTTTCTGCTAACAGCTACTGTAGTAGAATCGCTTGTAAGAAAATGAGCACATGATAATTTGCTAAGCAAAGTATTCATGATTTGGAATCTTCATCTCTGAGTCTCAGTAAAACATTTAATTATATTGTATAACATAGACCTCAGCGACTATGCCGCCGTAGGTCTCTTTCTTACCATCAGTATTTCAAACATATAGGAAATAAGTGTGGAATAAAGAACAAAATAAAATCAAATACAAGCGTCATTTGTTCTTCTTTTTTTTTTTTTTATTTCCTGGCAAAGCCATAGGGAATTACTCACTGGTAATTTTAGAATAAAAATGATACTGAGATTCACTTCACTACAAATGTCATTTTATAAAACAGTCTTTGGAGGAATCAGTTTCTGTTTCAAGTAGGAGCTTTGAATTGTGTGCTTTCAGTTTTCTCATAAGCAAGTGAGGGAACGGCTGAAGCAAAGCAAAGGCAGAGCTCTCCATCAACACATGGTGAGTAGTATTGAAAACAGATCCCTTATTCCTTTCGGAGCACATTGGCCATGATTCCATTTATGAGCATTGTATAGAGAAGCAGAGTTTAGAAATACTAAACAGTTGTAGAGCATTTTAATATCCATTAGCCTCTTATGATAAAAATAAGGCAGAGCTTAAAATTGCCCTAGCTTCCACTCCGTAGTCTTTAAAACACAGTGTCCCACCTGATGCAACCCACTGATAAAGTGCATGTAATTACTAAGTTGTTCCTGAGATCCTTTGGCTCGGCTTATTACAAATACATGTTTGTTTGTTTTTCAAAATGAATAATGCAATTAAGTGTATTAATTACTGATGAAATTGTGCATTTGTCACAGAAAAATGATTTGAATTGATATAGTTTTTAATCAATAACCCATTTTAATCTCTAATTACATTTAAATCTCTGATTATGACTATTTTCAGGAACTATTTAATAAAATCATGGTTACAGAAAAATATATAGTTCTTGTAAAATATTTACAGGGTCTTATGTTAATAAAATAATTAAATCATTCTCAACAAATCACATTCCAGACTGATAGATTTATCTTCGTACTTGTCAATCCTAGCAGGGGTTTGAACTAACAATCCCGGGTCCTAGTTGTTAACTATAATATCTACAAGTATAAGTTAAGTGATTTTACTTCATTGATCCCATAAGATTTGAATGTGTTTATTCAATTGTTTTCAATTATTAATTAAAACACACTGCAATCATCAAAATATTTCACATTACTCTTTTAAATGTATCTTACTTTCCAGGAGACTTGATACATATCTGATAATAATACATTCCTCCCCCTTTACTGTTATGTACAAAACACTCTAGAGCTAAATTTTATTATAAACATAAGTATACCAATTTTATGGCTATAGTTTGTGCCTACTTAAATTACATTCAAAAAAGCAACAGCAGTATTTAATATCATGACTCTGTAACAATGAAAGACTATAAAATGTACTTTCAGAAAGGACTTGGGACATTTTGTGTTGCATTAGAAATAATATTCTGTAAAAATAATGCTCACTCATTTACTTATTGATATTTATTTCCCATGTCCTAACACACAAATAGAGTCAAAAATAATTTGAGGAAAATCACAAAGGTAAGTGAATGAGAAAAGTCACCTCCTAAGAGAATGAGAAAAGATAAGAATGAAAGATTGTGAATGGGATGTTTTATGTCTGCATGCTGACAAGCACTTCTATTCTCCTCAGTAATGACCAGCCCAATTCAAATTTTCATCTTTGTTTTAGGACTCTTATTTATTTTCTCTATAGTGGTGATATTCCAAAGGAGAATGAATATGTTGTATTTCCTTGTAAGCACACTTACTGCTTTACAGATTCTTAAAAGGAAAACAAACATTTTAGTTGTTATAACCAGAATAGGAGAGAAACAAGATATTCACACAGTTTCTGTCACTAAAGGCAGTTAGAGAGAGAGAGAGAGAGAGAGAGAGAGAGAGAGAGAGAGAGAGAGAGAGAGACTCCTCCTGGAATCATTAACCTGAGTAGCATCAGACTGAGAGAGAAATCGCTTCAGGGAGTTGTGAGATGTAGTTGAGCTTACCTGAGCACAGGCTCCAGGAGCTGAAAGCCAGAAGCATCAGGCACACCAGCTGGATGTTCATTCCTGCCATCATCTTTCAGCCTTCTGACAAGCAGGTGCAGACAGTCAGAAAGACACTGAAGGAGCTCTCTCCTCTTGCCTTCAGCTGGCTTTGAAAGTGAGGGAACTATGAAAGATGCTCTGGCCATTCCCCATATATATATGAGCAGGAGGATGATGTCATGAGTGTACAGGATGTGCCCTGCCTTCATTTCCATCCCTCCCCTCCCCTCCCCACTCCCTCCTCCTTCCCCTTTGTCCCTCATCTCATCCCCCACCCATGAACCTTGATTGAAAGTGACGATCTTCCCTAATTGCAGCTGTTGCTCAGATTTTTCTGACTCATGGAAAGAGTTGTTCAAAAGCACTGCCATATACAGCATACTAAACTCTCCTGGTGCCATTCTTTCCTTATTTTTTTCTCATGCCCCCGCTCCACGAATTTGTCATTTTGATTTCTGGAAATGTGATTTTTTTTAAAATTCCTAATATTTAAGCAAAAGCTCCAGGGCAAAGCCACTGATTCTTTATGCTTGGGAGACTTAAACACAACTTAATATAAACTTTAGAGAAAATGTTTTGTGGTTTCAAAACTCATAGAGAATTTACATAGCACATGCTAAACTAGAAATGGAAATAGGCATAACTTGAATGTAATAATAAGATAACAAAACAATTCAAAAAAAGTAAAACAATCAGTAAAAAGAGAGAGAGAAGAATATGAGATCTAATGAATAGTATTATGCCCACTGAGTTGAGAGTTTATTATATGTAACTGAAGAAAGACTAAATTACATATGTTGGCCTTTAATGAATGCTTAAAAAATGTTTAGACAGTAAAGACATAAGTAGCTCATGTATTAGAAGGTAAACTATGAATTGATGTATTAACAATGCCCCCCATTCATAATTTTTCATACTGCATTGTTTAGATCTTTCTTGATACCGATGCGGTATCTCCTTCTCTCTTTTGTTTTCATAATCCCATGCTCACTGTTTTTCTGCATCCTATCAACTGGCCCCTCTCAGTTTTATTGTAAAAGTGAGATTCTACTTTCAGAAAGAAAAATATTCTATATAGCCATTATCTGCCAGAGTCACATTTCTAAGAATCTTCAGGTAATTTGCAAGTTACAATGCTATTCTTTCCTTCTCTTGGTTCTTGGAAGGAAATTGCTCAAATAACTTTTGGGAGAGTAGCTTTATTCTGCATTCATTACTTGATAACATAAGACATGTTCTGAACTGGTGTTAAGGATAGGAATATTTGAAAGCAAAGATTTCTGAAATTTGTGTAATTTTTTAAAACCACTACCCATGTAAAAATTACTAAGTGGAAAATCCAGATTGGCAAAGCAGACAGTTGGTTTATATTATCCAGTATTCGGTATGAAATTAACTTCTCAGTCTTTGCACCAAGCCTAAAGGAAGTTATTGTTTATTAATATTTAATAATCATTTAAATTTTATATATATATATATATATATATATATAATTCAAGGTTCAAAAGCTAAACAGTAGTTGTCTTTTTTATTAATTCAATTGTATTTTGTAGTTGCTGCAAAACAACTGTGCTGAATTCAGCTCACCCTGAAAGTTTTCTCTCAAGGATGAATGACTGCCAAGCCAGAAACATGCATGGGTTTTTTCTACCGCTAGAGGGAGGAGTAGCAATTTAAAAGGCTTTTCATTTTCACTGTGAGAAGGCTTGCTCACTTTTCACATTACTCCAGCTTCTTTCTGTGTGACAGAGTCATTTCAGACTTAATGAAGAAGTCAACAGATTATATATTCTTTGCATAATATTTAAATTAATTACTTTATTTGCTTTTCAATTGTAAAACACAAAGAAGAATCTTTGAAAGGCTGTTAAAATGCATGCTGGCAGTCTAAAATAGAAAAAGAACAACTTAATGCTTATTCCCCCAAGTGGTTTCCTAGCAAGTGGAACTTAGGGAACTGTTTATAAATGTATTCCTGATTAATTAAGGAAAAAAATAACATTTTAACTCATTTTAAACCTATCACATGAATATTCATTGTTAAAGTGAGAATTATTTCAGGTATATGATAAATCCCAGAGAAAGAGTACAAGAACATGTATCAAACAATGTCAAATGACTCAAAATCAAAGAGATTATCTTAGGTTAGACTCCTTATTATTAAAAATAAGTGTATAACATTTTTTGTCAAGATTACAATGTTGGCAATGCCTTTAACTGATGTTATAAAATACTCCTCCCTTTCCCTTTTAGCCTACATTGTTAGAGCTGTGGAAAGACTATTAAAGAGTCTGTTTCAGCAACAAGTTACAGCTGCCCAGTGGTCTAGGCTCAGTGCCTGGGAACCATAACAAAAAGAATGGCCGAGACAGGGCTTCATAGAGACTCGGCCATTTCTAAACAAGATAACTGGACCTCACAGAGAAACAAATACCTCACAAAGTGCTTTGAGACACACTGTGAGTAAAAAGACTGATACATTGTAAATGTAGCAGAAGACCTTTCAGACTAGGTGAATTAAATATATTAAAGTAAGTAAAAAGAACAAAACACACACACACACACACACACACACACACACACACACACACACAAAATGCCTTCACCTAAGGGTTGGGATCATTTTAGATGATGGGGCAGAAAGATTAAAGGGGCCGGAGGAACTAGGAGTGTGCTGTGAGCTTTTGTCTCCTAGAAGTGTCAGAAGCTACATCCTAATGTCTCACCAACACAACTGCCTAAATACAGTCTGAAACAGCAAGCCTCAATAGACATGCTAATATGGACAGGGAGAGGGCAGGATGAAGGTTAACCTACACAAAAGCTACAGGCAACTAAGGAATGCTCAGAGGGGGAGACACAGTCCTCTCAGAAGATGTGATACGAAATGGTGAGTTTTGAAAACATATACATACA